AAATAAGAAACAATCCAAGCACTTACCAGATTTATGCTGCCAGTAGGAGACCCATTAAAAGATTCTGGGGAGCAGTGAGGAAGGGGAAAGGGAGAAACAGGTTAGAAGATTTTCTCCAGTGTAGGGCCACACACAAGAAAAAGATGTAAAAACAAAACACAGAAAACAATGAACAACTGTGGCACTGGGTAAAATGTTGCTCCCAACATATAAGTACTTCAAGTTTCCAACAGACACCTAAAGAAAAGTGTAAGTTAATACAGCTATAGATATGAAATAAATACTCCAGAGAATATTCCTTTTTAAGTTTATGTCACCACATGACTGCTTCACTGAGAGTCAGTTCAATAATTAAACAATTTCCGTTAGACTTCTACAAGAAGAATTACTTTAACTGCTTTAAAAAGCCACCTCTTCTGTGTACTCTCAATTTCTATTTCCAGATGAAGACGACAGTTAAGTATTAAAACAAGCCAAGAAGTTAATGAACTTAAAATATTTTCATATAAAAATGAGAACTAGAGTTGCATACTTATTTTGGCAACACATCTGTTACCAAGACTCAACAAAAAATTTAAATGAGATTAATAAAGTTGCTACAGGGAAAAAAAAATCATTTGACTCCCAAAACAATTCACAAAAAAGCCCAAGGTGGAAACATTAACTTAAAAATCAGAGCTACTAAAAGAACTTTGATTTCTCAAAAACCAGTGGGTATAGTTTTCTTATTTTACTTTTAAAGCAGAAAAAAGGATAGTCGAAGGAAACCCCCTTACAGAGCTCACCTCCTTCACCATCATCTGATCCTCTGAAACTAGGATCCTTTAGCATATCCAGCTCAGCTAACATACGCACATACAACGCATTCTGTTTGAACGAAGGGTAGAATCTTTCGTCTCGCAGCATCAATTCATACACCTTATTGAAATAAAAATGCCAACATTAGAAATACTTATTACATTTTTTTTAATTACACAAACTTCATAAATTCTACTTGACCAGCTTGTATCTGTGAATTCTAAGATGTGTCTCCAGGTTTCCTTTAAAATCCTAACGAGAATTTGTGATATTTCAATTCAGGCTTACCCTTAACGAAAAAGTTATGAGAACTAATTGTGCTAGAAGTATCATACAGTCTCAGAAATTATCTAACTAATGGCACATATATAGGAAGGAAAGTAGCACATTAGCTGTCCATGTTTCTTCTTCTCCTCTTAACCTTTCCAATCACACCATGAACGTATTCAGTCTTTACCCACTTCCCAGTAGGTTCTCTCTCTGAGCCCTATTCTGTTCATAAACTATAAACACAGATTTGCAAACACTTAGGTGGAGAGGTGAGAACAGGAAAAGGAAGGGAGGAAAGACTACTTTACTGGAGATTTCAAGTTCAGACAGTACAGTATAAACCCAGCTAAGAAAGACCACACCACCTCAAAAAGTTATCTATATAGCCTTTACAGTGACAGTATATATACATATACACACATATCTATATGCAGTGGGAATTAATTCCTGATGTTTGGATACTCATGTCAACCCTAGAATATTTTAACGATGATTTTCATGGAACACTTTGTGCAGGTGCTATCACCTGGAAAGAATGGAAATTTTCACGCAGGTCTGATGAAGTCAGTTTCTTTTGTAACACAAGAGAAATTAATGCTCTTCAGCAGAAATCACATGCAAGGCTCTCCTAACCTACTCTGAGCAATACAGATTTCACAAGGTGTTTTCATTAGTATTACATGTGGGTCTCAAGTAAAATAGAGTGACTCTAAGTTCTAATGCTCATATCATATCACTCATTTTTAACATGAAAGAGAACATGAAGTTAATGACCTAAAATAAAAACCTATCAGACTGGCTATATAATTTATTGCCAGAATATTAAAGATTCACTATATATAAAACAATATATATAGTAAAATTATATATATGTAGTGAATGTGTATATATTTGCTGCTTCTGAGTGCTACACATGTTTACATCCACCTTTGAAAGACAGAGCTAAAACCAGACCAAAATTGTACCACTTAGTTATTCTACACAGGCATGTTTTCTTAAATTGGTGCATAAACACAAATTCTCAATTGTGCTTCATAATTAGTTTCATACAGGACACCTATTCCTTCGATGTCTATTGCTCTGAAAACCATGGGCTGCATATAGCTAAGCAGAAGCTGGCAATTTAAAGCATGATTTTTATAGAATAGGAAAAGTGGTAAAACTGGTTTAGGTTTCAGGTATTTTGAGTTCCTTCCTCCTTTTTCAATGGTTATAATGACATTTAATACTCTCTAGCATTAATGCTTATGAAATACAGGATGAAAAGAGTATACCTTTCTTTGAATGTCATCAAAGATTTCAGGTGTTGGATCCTCATGGTTCAGTGTTTCTGCCAGTTTTGCTACTAAGTTGTCATCAATATTGACTCTTGGAGATGCCTGCCATAGAGATCTAAATCAACTTTTGCAGCAATGAAATAAGAAAGTTTCTATTTTCACAATTAAAATTAGCAATGCTCTATGCAAACTGAATTTCTTCTTGATAAGCATTTTTAGCTATAGCACTGTCTGGAACACAAAACACGAGTCAGACCCACTGCTCCCCCAAAAGTTCAGAGTGTATTAAAACTCAGAAGTTTTAGGACTATATGCTAAGAATCACCTCAAAACCAATATGCGTGTCATGGTTTAACATTATTTTGAAGCAACATCTAAACCAGATTACTCTCACAAAACCAGATTTTATTTATTAATACAAAGATCTAGATTCAGAAATGAAGAAAAAAAAAGCCAGTAAGAAAGCAAATGGATGAAGTCCTGAAGCGTCTGAGGAAGGGCTAACAGTCTGTCAACTCTACCAGTCAGGGTGGTTTCTTATGCAGATGCTATTACAGCCACCAGCATACTAACGCCAACAGCCAAAAGATTCCCAGTCACCCCCTGGTATGACATATTTCAAACCACTGCCCATTAAGCTTTCCCTGTTTTTCTGTAAGGAAGACAGGGAGCCAGCACTGAACCAGATGCAACATAGCTCACTTGATCCATCAAGCACATCTGAGAGGCTGAGTTTATCAGCTTTGGAACAGTCTAAACCCAGTCTTAATCCAAGTCTGTACAAATATTGGGTTGCACTTTTTTGAAAACATTTTGGGAGGGGGAGGGGGGAGTGGAAGCAGAGGGCAGGGTAGAAGGAAGGGGAAAGGACAGCACACACAAAGGGACAGAATTTATCATGTCTTCACGTTTTCTCTAGTTTCCCTCTATTCTAGAAATTCAGCTTCTGAGGAACATATTCAGTGCATCTGACAGGACAGCCAGTTCAGTATAAGCCTTTTTAAATGGGGGAGGTGTTGAGGGTGTGTGTGTGAAGGAAGACGTCTCCTTACTGCTTGATGTAAGGACAAAGAAGAAACACAAGTAATAGCTTAGGTATCAACTCGTGCTACATGACATCCATTTCCTATTAACGTAGCTGTAACTACCAAAGAAGCATCTGTACAAAGAATAAATTCCAAACAAATTCTAAACAATGCAGAAATAAGTTATTTCTACCTTTTCTGATAAATATTGCTCATAAACTCCAAATGCAGCTGCTCTTAATAGACCCTTGGTTTGATTAGTCTGATGTTTTCCATCTTTCTGCCGGCTTTGAAGTACCTCCAGCTGTTGCTGTGCCGTAACCCTGTATCCTTCCACTGTCATCCAGAAAAACAGATGTGCTTGGCCACCAGTCTGCTGCATGTAATCTACAGAAAACAACCACCACACAACTACAGTTATTGTTGTGCACTTTAGAATAAGAATTCTCTATGATGTTAACTACAAAATCGTGAGCAAAGCCTATGAACTAAGCACTGAATCCTAAAACGCGCATGTAAAAGGTGAATCCACCATTACTGTATGGAAGTAACACGCTTGAAAAAGCATGATACAAATTAAGAGGAAGTTCAAACTGGAAATGTAACAAACCACATGCATTAAAAGGACTACCATCACTAATAAAACAGATCGATGTTCTTAGTAATGACCAGCCCAATAATTTCACAGAAGAGAACCAAACATCAGAGTACTGAAAAATTACACAACTTCAATCCATCTATTATTTTCTTGATTGTATGATGAACCTAAAATAATAATTCAGTGACTGTTATTTCAGCTTCTCGAACAGACAATCCTCAGTAGCCTTGTAATTCTCTAAACATCAATCTAGCATCTATAGTAATTAATTTTAGCTTCACTAAGACCAGCAAAAGACTAACAACTGTGATAAGTTTCAAAACCATTCCAGTTATAAACCTCTAAGTAATTCTTGCAATAACTGTTCTAAACAGAACAAAAACTTGTGAAGTGACAGACCAAGAAACATTGCAAGAACAGTCTAACAGAGAGACAGCAGTGAAACAAGCCCAATACAAGCTTTTGGAAGTAATGAATATGGTGTTCTGATTTGCAGAAAAGGATTTGATTCCTTCTGGCAAGGGGCTTATACACAGCTCTCAGCAGACACCTACATTTAGTGATTTCAAGTGTACAGTCCTGTGAGTAAGAACACTGTTCATAAATAAAAAAGAAACAGATAAATTAGCACTTACCTATAAAAAACTGAAGTGCAACATTGTCTACCAGAATATGGTCCAGAGGGACTGTGCAAAGTTTTCCAAAGTTTGCTGCCAGTTTCACAGTATCTATTTCCTGTAAGACACACATTACCTTGGAGCCACACCTAGGTTCCATTAAAAGAATCAAGAAACTAAGCAAAGTCCAACATACTGACCCTGTCAGCCTTAAACTATAAAACAAACTACAGAACAAGCAAACAAACTATATGAGGTTCTCAAATTTAACATCCAGTTTGCCTTAGGCTTTTTGTACCTAAAGAGGTAAGCATGTCTGACAAATGGCAACACAGAGTCTACAAGGCATTTGAAATGATTAGCAGGTGGCACCTTTATCAACAAGAAAACATCTTTGCCAAAGACTAAGCTCGAGGCACAACAAGGTATTCACTTGTGAGCAGAACCCAGGTGTATAAATACAAAGATGCCTTGCATCTATGTAACATTTTGGTTTTAACTCTTGTATTGAGAAAGAATAGTTTTAAGATGTACTGACATATCTGAACTGCTTTAGAATTCTTTAGAAATGCTTTCTGTACTACTGCAAATAAAAGACTAACTTCAGTTGTATAATGTATTCCTACAACTATGTACTTCAAGTTGTGTTTCAAAATGCAAGAATTAAAAAGGTACATTGAACCAGTAAGTCATCTGCAGCTTCGCTCTTTCAGAACTAAAAAAATTCTAATACTTACTTTTCCTGACTGCAACCTCTGAATTCTTGAATCACATACTTTAATAACATATAATAAACTGTTTATTTGATTTTTTATAGTGTTGATATCTGAAAGAAAAACAAAGAGGATTAAGCAATGTAGATGAGTATGTAAACCCTTGTTCAGAAATGCTCTAAAAGTATCATACAAAAGTTGACATACAACTTAGAAAACACACCAGCTCTGAAGAAAAGGTTTGTTTGTTTGGAGTTGAAATACCTTAACCTTAGTGCTAGAAGTGAACCAGAAGAAATGTTTTTCTCTTTCCTCTTTCAGATTAACTGTTAGCTGACTACCCATTAATACCTAAAGTATTACTGAAGCCCAGCGCCCCCCGTCAGGCAAGTTTCAACTCAGTGGAAGTATACATACCTAACTAATTAGTCTATTTTTTAAAGAAGAAAAAAAAAAAAACTAACACCCACATATGAGGATTCAAATTTTAACACTTCACATACAATTTATTTTGTTATTTAAAAATAAATCAATGTTGTATATTATGCTGTATCAGAGTTTTTTTTCTAAACTCTTGGAATATTCTTCACAGATCATGCTGGCAAACGCATTTCATATTTTCTAAAACAATACAGCACTAACCATCTCCTGCTGTATCTAGAGATCGAAGATATTGCAGTTCTTCACTTGCTTTATCTTTCACTGCTTCCAATTCTCCTATATTATCACTTAACTTAATAATATTCATAAAGGCCTCATAGTTACAGTTGGAATCACGAATCTGAAACAGAAGTTTTATAGTGTGAACAAAGCAAAACAGGTAAAAGCACATGACACTTTTTCATTAAATGACTTATTTTGATACAGCACTGAAAAGTGGCATTCTGAAACACTTTGATGCTTCTAAACCTTTCTCTTGATACTGAAATTTTACATGGACCAAGAGAGAGGAAGCATGCACATAGTCAACACCTACTTCATACCATCATTTTCTATTTTCAAGAAGTACAAAGATACATGGAAGGTGTGTCAACCTCTGTAATGAAGATCTTTTTCCAAAATCAACCTCCTTCTGCTGTCACCCATCTCCTTAGCTAAGTAGGCAGAAACTGGTGAGACCACTGAAGAGGTTCCAGCTTTGCCAAGGACACCTGCAAGTGTACAAGCTCCCAGTGTTATGGCTCATTAAGCTACAGAATTACAAAAAGAATTAAGACATTGTACAACGCAACCAAAACTTACTGGGGAGGGGGGAAGGAAGTGACTGAATTAATACCCTCTCTGAAATCCTAATTCAAATATCCTTGTAAATACTATCAAGCTATTTGAATACACACTGTTTTCTCAGTACTGGCATAGGGTGAGCCTGCCCTGGGGTCTCAAAGGCATTTGGGCAAGCAGAGGAAACCTGCTGTGCTGCTGAGGTCACTGGAAACCGTGTTGTGAATGCAGCATGGAGATGAGGGGAAGACTGGCACCTCCACAGCACGTGCATGCAGGTGCAGAGGGTTGAGTTCTAATGCTGTCTTTACCATCTGAAGCCAAAAGGAGTCACATCACTTACATCTTTCGTAAGTGCACACTTTGATATGGAAACATAATACTCTATCTGTACTGCAGAACTGCACTGACATGAGTTGCAGAGCAGAGAGAATGTAGACTGGATACCTTTGACCAAAGTTAATGGAAATTCTTCCTAGTAATCTGCTTTTACAAATAATAGTACAAGCAATTTTGTGAAAATGTGAATTTCAGTGAAGGCAAGACAAGTTTGGATTAACTTTTAATTTTATACTGAAGCTTTAAATTTTATTGCAAGAGAGTTAGTATTGAACTGTGGTGTGCCTAGAAACATGGAATTAAACTTCTCATTTTCAGAAATGGAATTTTTTCATTCAAATCCAATTTTATGTCAAAGGTACCCAAAGGAGCTAGAATTTAAGTCATCTCTACCTCTGACTTCAATTTCTGCAACAATCTTCGTTTCATAAGACGGTATTAAATATCTGAAAGCATTTATTCTTCCTTATCTTTCCCCCAGCACATTTAGTTCCTCATGTCAGAAAGCAATTATGAGAATTAATATTTGGGACATCACCATCATAACAGAAAGCTTTATAAAAACCTCAGAATTCTATCTTTGGATGCAGCCGGGGGCAGTGCTCAGTAAATAAAGAATGAGGCCAAGTTACAAATAAAGAACATGCGTAGGAGGACAGGGGAAACAAAAATTAAGAAACTTAGTCCATATGAGCAGCAGTATCTTTTCTTATTAAAGTTAAGATCCTGCAGAAAAGCAGCACGCAAACTTTTACATGAAACGGGGGTTGCTGGAGTGAAGGAAACAATGTACATGCACACTTGAATTCGTTTCATACATAAGATCTTTTACTCTGAAATCCAAAGGGGTTTTCAGCATAGTACTTAAATGCACACTGTAAGACAAATATATGAATAAAAGTAGAGAAGACTTGGGGAAATGTAAATAAAATTAAACTTGATTCATGAGCTATAAGGGATAATGAACTCAATAAGCTTTAACTTGCTTTGCAAAATATCAGTAACACTAATTAGTGTGTGAATATTGTACTCACGTTAATTTAACTACATACTCCTACTTTTAAAAGTTTAGGGATGTTTTTGCAGGTACATTAGAGAGATAGCAAAGTAAAGACTTTGTTTCTTCCCATTCAGTTAAATTATTAAGGGTTACCACATATGTCCCTAAAACAAACACCCTGAGATTCCTTAGCAGAAGTGGGAAAAAAAAAACAAACCCCACACACCAAAAAAAAAAACCCACAATCTTACTACTGGCCATTCTGGAGGCCTCTTAGGCTTTAAAGGACACATCATAGAGAGTCAAGGAAAAAAATTTGCAAGGTTACCGCCATGCTTCCTGAATAGCTAAGCAAAAGCGTCACAGGACTGATTCAACTTTACACTGTGTCACACATCCGTTCTCATACAGGTGACTTTTGCTAAACAAAAGCAGCACAGAGTACAGATAACACAGAATTTGAATATAGTTGACCTAAGTTCACTATCTCTGACAACAGGTACCTGGTAGAAAAGCTACCAATGGATGTATCTGCCATGATTACAGGAAACACAAGTAAAGATTAACACCAATATATTCTGGAAATATCATTCATTTTAAACATTATAAATCTTACCATCCATATGACATACTGATTAATATAATCAGGATCACTGAGCTGGTTTATTAATGGAAGAAGAATTCCTCGCGAGAGGATTTCCTGAAAAACAAAATATAATAAATAATTTTATACGTTTATTCATAAAGCTAATATAATTGCAACAATTTAAAATGACTGTGTAGAGACTAAAAAAATGTGTAATTACAGAAAACACTCAATAGGCATTAGGCACATTCCTTTCCAATTAACATTAGAAGATGTTAATATCTCAGGAAAAACAAAATCAATTTTCTCATGCCTTTCTAATGTTAAATAGTAATGTAAGAGGTGAAAATCATCAGAAGCATTTAACAAATACCGTTCTCTCATATTAAACATTTATCAAGATTGTACTGCGTTTAAAATAACCTAACATTAAATTAAAAAAATTTTACAAAATCAAGTAGGAAGAGCAGTTCAGATCTAGAAGTTTTTATGACATTAAAGCAAAGAATTCGGATGGTTTCAGAGTCCGTACTTACCCTGACAAAGTATCGCATGATCTTGTTCTGGAAGTCTCCAGGAGGTAGCAATATATACAATAAAACCTCACACAGATCCCTTAGGAATCCTAGGGAGAGAGAACAAAAGCCCTCAGCATAATTTTCATATTGTGCTTTTTTATTAAGATGTGAAAAAACAGATAAAACCTTCAAATTACATTCAAATATACAGTCATATGTATTCTTACACTCCAAATATCACAGTAACACCTTTCAGACTGAATATAAGCAGCATTGATTTAAACCTGAGACACATCTAGAGTCTAAAAACCAAGACAAAAGAAAGCCAAATTCCAAGAACCAAATAAATAACTCCAACATATTTTCCTTATTTAATATATACAGGTTTGGGGTTTTTTCCCCCCCCTAATTCACACTTTGCCCAGAAAGATCACTATTAGAGTAGTGGTAAGAAAGGCAGATCTAACAAAAAGCAGTACAGATCTGCAAAGCCAACCTCCCTGCCTCCCAGAAAACATAGTTCTATCTTAAAATTCTCTGAGAAAAAGCTAAACGTGTATATTTCATTATAATTATAGCATTAATATATACAAATTAGAGAAAAATATACATGTGTAATAGATAACCATGTTTTGAAAGTCACATACTAAGATTTCAGTATATTTTATATTGTGAACGCAATAGTTAGTATTTTAGTCTGCTATACTAATATAACTTCAGAAGATAATATTGAGAGACCTTCTTCATCTTTGGGAGAAGTGCAGACTAGATCACGACAGACTTCTTTTTCCATTTCAACTTCAACCTCAAAGAATGTATCTACAAGTTCCTCAGCTTGGCCTACACAAAAGAAAACAAAAGTATACTTTTTTGGTAAAGATTAGAAACTTGAGAGCAAACTTCAAGTATAAAACAAAGCTAACTGTATTTCACATATGTAATATACCTGCCTACTCAGACTCAAAAAAAATATTTCAATCATTACATTACCTTTCATCTGATCACCTTTCTCTGCTATTCTTTGCTGAGCTTTTCTGAAAACTCGAAGATGAGTGCCAAAGTCATCAACAAGTCGTGTAGTGAAATAAGGCTGCCAGTCTGTTTCCTTTGACCTACCAGAAAAAGATATCCATGAAAATGAATTATTTTATCCTGAACACAAAGAACAGTAACAAATTTCTACTTCTTTCTCCCTGTAATGAACCACACTGATAGTAAACATGGAAAAGCAAAGAAATAAATCAGTCTCCTAATTGCCTTATCCACTGGAAAAAAAATCAAATACTGTAGAATATCACTCTTGCACCACACTGATATTTATGCTTGAATTACTTAAGGTCAACATGGTACCTGGAACAATGTTCTGAGTCATGACATTATCAAGTATCTGTGAAAAACCTCATATAAACAGTACAACCTAAAATTAAAATACTCCTCAGGTCTTTTTCAGCCATACTTTCTATAATTTTGAAGACACCTGAACAAAACTATTTTCTTCTGAATTTGCAAAATATGCATAAGTGAGAAAACACACATTTCACTTGAAGTTACAAGCGACCTATTATTATCAATAATTGATTCCACAGCTTATATGAGAGGCAATTAGCATGAATCTCCAATAATGCACATAGCTTAGCATCAGAAAATAGTCACTGTTAGATTTGCATAAATGATTTCAGTGGTATGAAAAAGATGCAGGTATTCTTATGATACCCATGCCTTACCAGCCAAACTGAAAAGGAACTTCTGCGCTTTAAGTTTAATGAAGCTAGATGTCAGTGATGGCTTTTACTCTGCACTAAGTACTCCCACTATCTGAATTCTCTCAGATACTTACTACTATCCTTCTACAACACTTCCTTTTTTCTGTTTGTTCCCTCACCCCTCTCTCTTCCCTCAGAGAGACAGCGATAAGGAACTCTGGAAGAGAGGGAAGCCTACTGCAAAATCCAGATGTGGAAATAAGCAGCGCTGTCTCAAAGGGCAGTCAATCAAAACCATCAATAACCCGGATCCAGCATCTGCAAAATCAGCAAATCACACCGAAACACTAGGTGGCATCCTTACATCGTCCGCCCTAACCCACAACTTCAAGGGAATAAAACCGTAAAAATCCCGCTGCATTCATTCTCTCCAGAAGCGCACTGGGTATATGAAAACAGAGATGACGCTACTAAACTAAGGCTGCTAAAGCCATATCCAACTACAGCCTTTATAAATACACCACATCATCTTCTCTTAATAGTAACTGCTGCTGCAGCCCTGTGAAATCAATTTGGTTTGTACAGAGCTGCCCAGGAGTGTTGGCTGGTTTTGAAGAGCTATGGCACTGCAGGAAAAAATAATTAAATCTGCTATAACTTGAGCTGCTTTGACACAAAGCCAGTGCTCAATACTGTTCAATTAAGTAACTTTGCCAAATGTACAAAAACAATGAAGTTGGATAGCCACATGCATTTCATGTAAACACAGGATTTCTTGTTGCAATATACAGTTTATTTAGCCTAGTTTTCACTATTTCCAACACTGTTTCCTAGAATTTCCATTATTTCAAAATCAGTAAGATTTTATCATACTTCATTTTCTCCTGGCATTAAACGCAGCTCTCCATCTTTGACCTTTCTTGCCAGAAAAGCACACTGACCTGCATTTTCAAGTCAACAGAGGGAGGGGATAAACTTCTTAGCAATTTTGAGGTGGTGGTGTTATACTCATGTGACCACAACCTCTTCTGAAGAGGAAACAGATAACAATCAGCACAGTGGGATGAATACCTGAAATCGTTACAGTAGGGTATTGTATAAAGGAATGCAGTACTGGGCTGAGGAATCAGACATACTAAAGAAGATAAATAATTGCCCAGTCTAGTTCCCTCACTTCCTGCTACCTGATCAAGCAACAGTAGAAAAAACGTGGAAAAATTAACAAATTATGTATTTGTTTGACCCAACCCTATTTTAAAAAAAAATTATGTATGTGACATATCAGATGAGCATTCCCTTAAAAATACTCATTGTGCTTAGATATTGAAGAGCAATACTACTTCCAAAAGTTGCCTGAGCTGATACAGGTAATTAAAGGCTTTCAGATGGACTTGCATTGGGAATAGCCCTGCTGTTTATGTGAAACAGACCTGCATATTAAAAGGTGATGATTCATGTATCTCAATGCTTAAGTTGCCAAAAAAGAGCTATTCAGTAATTTTAGACATTAATCTAAATAACTAAATGGCCATTTTGCAAAAGAGCATGACTACAAACATCATCTCCACTCATTCCTTTAGGGATCAGCAGAAGAATGTAGTTCTTAGATTATGATCTTAAAATTTTACATGTTCATTTTTCTGTAAAATACACTGAACTATGACAATAGATGAATTTACTCTTTCACCTACTAGCATACAACCCACAGAGGTATTTGTCCACTTGCTTAGACAGCGCATTGATGTAAATACAAGTCATCTCACCTGGCAGAAAACTGAACGAGTGCATACTGAAGAGCCTGCCTGATTTCCAGAAGAAACGATTCATCATCACTTAGTGTGTAATACCAATACTGCACATAGTCTCTGAGAGAAAACTGGATTACCTGAAATGGGAAAAATAAAGATGAACTAATTAACGAAAGACAACAAAATATAAAATAGCATTTTGTGCCTGGTAACACAATCACAGTCGTCTTAAAAGGTTAATGTAGTGAACCGTATAAAATTGTGAGTGAAACAATACAATGCACATACTGAAACCTCTTTTTCATACCGGTTTATATGCTGAGAAACTACAATATACAGAAGACAGAGAAATATCGCCCAATCTCCTGGCTCATCCTCAATGTTTTTTTCATTTACCACTCTCAAATATGATAAAATTTCTCAGCTTCTATTTGTCTCTTAACTACTTAGATGATACATAGTCCGTACTTAGAAAAATAAAGAGGTTAAACAGTCCTGTTAAGAACTTACCTGTTGCAAAGGCTCATCAATTATATTTGCACCTGTCAGTCTTCTGTCAATCTTAATAGGTCTGGCTTCACGTTTCATTTCTTCTATGCACTTAAGAGAGATTAGGAAATGTAACTTTTCATGTTTTCATTAAAAATCAGCTCTACTGTTTATGATATATGCATACTTCCAGTAATGATTTCATACAACATTAATTTTATATAATATATATAATTAGCATATAATTAGTTTATAGGACTTGCAACTCAGAGCAGTTAACTCCAAGAACAACTTTGTCAGAGCTGACTTTTGACAAATGACATCCTAAAAAAGAACACCCTTTATCAGTGCTTCTGGATGGACTAATACAGTGTCTTTCTAGAAAATTAAGATGAAATCTGCAATAAACCTCTTTATTTTTCACAGAAATAACAGCCCATCAACCTACATTATTGTTCAAAAAAAAACCCAAGTTACTTTATTCTCTGATCTAAAGAGAAGAACTGCCAAAAAATATAAATTAAAAAATTATAAGCCATAGGTCCAGTGTTTCAGTTCTATGTGACCCCCCCAAAGTGGCGCTCATTCAAACCAGTTAACAGTGAATGGCAATGAAATATCTGAGGCCAGAAAACATTTCTCCTCCTGCTTAACCAACGCTGTATTACAATGCAAAAGTATTTTTTGGCAAAATTCTGTACACTTTTTAATTTTCAAGACAAGGGAGTGGTTTAATGCTACTTTAATATGAATGAAGTGACTCATATTCAAACAATACTTCAGATCTATACTAATGAATTTACAAAATATTTTTGTCTTGATGGTGTCAAAAGAAAAAGTGGAATGATTAAGTATTTTTACTAAGCACAGCATAGTTCAAATTGCCAAACAAAATCGTTAAAAGATAATGTTGAAGTTTGAGGACTGCGTGCATAAGGCCATATTTAGGTAACGGAAAAAAAAACCAGGAGCCAGAAGTAATAAAGAGAGGGACACAGAGAATACACAAGGTTACTTGGTAAAAGTAACACAGGGGATTTACCTATCTCCATCAAAGCCCTAACATAGCATATAACCAAATGACTCAAAATAGAGATATTCAGAGACTAATCAGGGATCAAATACGCATTCCACTTTTGCACCTCAAGGGCCCTACAGGAAAGCTGGAGGGGGACTTTTTACAAGGGCCTGTAATGATAGGACAAGGGGTAATGGGTTTAAATTGAAAGCGGATAGATTTACATTGGATATCAGCAAAAACTTCTTCACGGAGAGGGTGGTGAAGCACTGGAACAGGTTGCCCAGAAAAGCTGTGAATGCCCCATCCCTGGAAGTGTTCAAGGCCAGGCTGGATGAGGCTTTGAGCAACCTGGTGTAGTGGAAGGTGTCCCTGCCCATGGCAGGGGTGTTGGAACTAGACGATCTTTAAGGTCCCTTACAACCCAAACCATTCTATGATAACAGTAATTACAACTTACCTGACAGCAAGCTTGCAATACTGTATCTAGTCTACAGAAACTCCATGTCTTTTGCATGAAGCATGAGATATCCGTTATGATAACAACTGAATATTCCACACTTCTGTGGAATTTTTATTGAAAGTATCATTCCCTTTATCAGTTCAGAAGGCTCTAAACTTGCTTTTCATTCAACATTATTTTAACATAAAAATGAAGACAATTATTTATCTTACACGGCCAGTCCGTTACAACATCACGTACGTTCCTGACAAAAAAGTTATAGTAAACAGATTTACAAAAGAAAAAGCAAGTCTAATCCTAATTTTTGAACTACCCTACAGGTATGCAAACAAACAAAAAAGTAGAAAACTATACAAACTTCCATCAAACTTACATAAACAGTTATCCTTAATGTGAGGCATTCATTATATATTCACTCATAAGCATAATAAGCAGCAACCAAGGAAACCTGTCAGCACCAAATCCCGTGATGTAAACTTAAGAATCTGGTACATTCTACATATTATTTCCATCAACAATTTTGGTGCTCTGAATTATAACTGATTTCTTTAAAATCAAGCATTTGGACATCCTTCTTAGCCTAAAAAATCCCCAAGTAACAAAAAACACTCAGTCAATAAAACTGACTGCCTTTGGGGAAAAAGAGCTTCTTAGAAAGAATCTGTATCATCAGATTACTTCTCAAAATGCAGCATCACAATTTCATACTGAGGTGAGTTCAGTTTGATTCATGGATGAAGCTTAGCCTATACACTAGACACTTAAAGAATATTAATTCTTCAAGACTGTTTTGGGCCTCAGTGTTTTGAAACATAAAAACAATTACAAGTTAAAAATATTACTTCCCAATAAATATAGGCCAGCAGAAATTTAATACAGAAATGGCAAATAGGAAACTCAAGCAAACCACACATTTGGTTATGGTTAGGACTCTTCTTGCATTGCTACTGAAAAGCTCAGCTAAGCTAGCTAACACTATTAATACAGCAGAAAAAAGAAATACAAAGCACTATTGTAGAAGACAAACACCTTTCAGTTGGAAAACAACTTCAAACAGCATTTGCTAAGCCAGCTGAAAATAAATACCTTCATGCTACAAAACTTAAATCCAGACATTAGTCAAGGCAGGTCAGTTGAGAAAACTGATGTGTCAATAATCCACACTAAAATCCAAAGTCAAATTAATAAATTTGCAAGGATTACAAAAAAAAATCCACAACATTTTATTATTTTATAAAGCAACCAGAAAATACATACATACTGTGCTCAAAAAAGTAACAAACAAAAAAAAGTTTCAGCAACATGGAGGAAATTTACAATACAGAAACACTTCTTGTAAATCTGCTCTCAAAACAGGACATAAACAACATGCCACTATCCATATAATATAAGCACTAAAATCTATATAGCACCAAGAACCTTAGTCCCCTGACAGCTGATGTTTCATTAAGAGCACAAAATCATTAGTTGATTGCTGACTTGCCCTTTTTCAGCCCTAAACTTGGAATTTTTCATTTGGACCAGTGATGTTACTTTATGGTTTAGAATATACTTAAGTTCTAAATTTACCTCAGCAGATTCAAAGACTTAAGTGAAAAGGCCACTTACCATCTGAGCTATGAAACAGTCAGAAAAGAAATTCTGTGATCAGAAAACATACTGCTGAATCACAAAACACATTTCTATATGCTACTGGTAAGAAAGCTGAACACACTCCCCTTCTATAGACAAGATGAAGCATAGTGACCTGACAGTTAAGAAAGGGCAGGATGTTTCAGTCCAAACAGTTGTTACATTAAATATAACATAGCGAGCAATCTTTGGGTTAAAGTGTCTTCTCTATTCTGATGAGTGCAAATGGATTAGGCCAAGATATATCTAAACTTCTGCCTTGGCTATTAAGAATTAATTCTGTACTAGACACATGCAGATTTATTCAATTAGGAACTCTGAATTCAGGTCCATCAATCAAAGTGATGTGTCTATTAAGAATTCAAAAAGAGAGAGCTGAAAAGGGGATCTCACTGCTGTTCCAACTTTGTCTATTGCATTTCCAGGATTTTTGCTTGGTCTTAAAACGTAGCCAAAGATAACAAGTTCTGCATCCCTGTAGAACAACTTCTACATCCCTTGTACTGTAAATTAAACTTTATTACAGTTTAATCTTCTTAGTTAGGCAAGCAACTTTGACCACAAACAATCAAAAGAATCAAAACTGGAGACTACAGAGTGATGGAAGAATCCTAAATGGTCAGTCTTGCAAGAAAAACCAAGAAGGTACTACCACTCTCACCAAAACCCACAAAAGTAGTCTAGAAAGAAATGGTTTATAATTCCCTCACAGATAGTATTAGCCAGTTATATCTTCCTTATTTCTCATAATGAAGCTAGAAACAATACTTGAAACAAACTTTCCATAAATGCTTAAAAAGCTTGTATTTCAAAAAGGAAAAATCTTGCATTTCACATGCATATTGCAGATGAATCAAAATATAAAAGCAGGCTCTTTTACCCTATGAAATGGGTACAATTCTTAGATTTAAACTGATCAGTGTCATTCTAATACTCAAAGTTATAAAATCTGATCTACAAGTTAAGACCAGGAAACTGTCCTTACCTTAGGGATCCCAACTGACGTACAAGGAAGAAACGAATGTTCACACTGCTCAAGGTATTTTTCTGAGTTACTTTTTCCAAATAAAAGAGTAACCACAAAACCCCTAAAATGGAAAAAGAAAGATAAGCTAGAACAACTGTCATCTTCCCTCCCCACTAGAAAATGTTTCACAGCAGGTTATAGAATGATAGTATCTGACAATTCTCATCATTTACTCTCCTCGTACAGTGCTCCTCCACAGTATAGGACACTGCTGAAAATATCCGATACAAGACTGGGAAATTTCATACTTGGTATTCTCAGTCTTGATATATTCTTCTCACACGGTATCTCTACACAGCACTATCTATACTACACAACCTGCTGCAGGAGAAGAACCTGGGATGGCAGGGTACCTAGATTCACAAATATTAGTACAGGCAAGGGATACATATATAAGCTGCTCTGGTTGTATTTATATAAACAAACTTTTACTTCAATACTACAAAGAAATAAAACCTTTAAAGATACATTTAGGCCTAAAAAAAAAAAAAAAAAAAAAAAAAAAAAAAAAAACAAACCCGCCACACCACAAACCAGGCAGAAACTGACATAGTAAGTGTAGAAAAACTACTGGTTGCATATGTTGAAACAAGAAGAAAATTTTCAACTGGGAACTTATTTTAAGCTGCAAAGAAAAAGAAACAAACAAACAACAACAAACACCACCACCAAAAAAAAAAAAGCCCTCCCACACACTACAGCCAACCAACCTACCAAAAAGAAATAGTCCTGCCAGGCTGCATAAGAATAATCAAGGAAAAAAAATCTAGAGGATAACTGAAGTCAGATACAAGGTGCTGGGTTTTTTTGGGTGTGGAGAGTTTTTTTTGAATGTTGGGCATTTGGGGTTCTCTGTTGTTTTGTTTTTAATTAATCCAGCAAACAAAATCTGAATAAGCATACTCCTGGAGCATTTATTTTAAAAGAATATTAGAACAGAATTCATTTTCTTCCCTCATATTCTACAATGATATTTAAATTATGATTTACAGTTCAGCAAGACAGCAGTTAATTTAATTATTGTTTTATTTATGATATAATGAAGGCCTAAGGGAAAAAGCAACCATTACCAAAACTTTAACCTTGCTACAACAGCAAGAATTTATTTACAGCTTGACACTGAGGCACAAAAAAATAAACATAAAACTGATTTTACTAAGAAATAGATGAAAATCTGAAGGCTGTACCAATTATAGCCCAAACAAAGTATGCAGCCTTTGAAAACTCAACCACTTAAAAAAAAAAGACTAAGATGTCCCCGGTGCTCAGACTGGCCTTGGGATGGTTAAACACCCATAGCTTTTAACACAAATCTTGAAGTATTCAATTTAAGGCCAACTGACCAACATTTGTGAACACCGGAACTCAAAGAGTTATTCCAGGCTTGAAACATGCTGAAACAATACATTCTTTTAATATAGACTGCTGTTGATGTATGATACTCTTACTTGCATGATTAGAATAAAATTGTTAACCACGGTAAAATATGTCATTTGAAGGTTTTAATTGTTTTAATTCCCTGTCTGGGAACCATCCTTTTTAAGTACCCCAGAGATTCAGTAATTTGGAAGCAGGGAGGAGGTCATTTGTACCTAAACAACACCGGGGAAAGGGGGGGGCGCGGAAAACACCCGCAACACCGGACCAAAAAAACCCTACACAAAATTATAATTGTTTACTTCATAAGGTGTAAGAAAATGTCACTTAACGCTCTGATTCCCTCACAACCATCTTTATCTGCCAACTCCATGTACTCTTTCTACATATGAAGACAAAAAATAAAAGCAGGTCTAACTGCTCTTCTGCTCCAGATACTTCCAGACAGCTTTAAAGTCATAACACCAACAGTGCTAACAGCATCATAATTCAGTTCAAGGACAAAAGCTCGCACAGAAAAATCTCTATTAGTTTCCCTATGCTTCGAAGTTCACTAATGTTTTGGTTTGGAGGGTGTCTTGTTGGGTTTTTTTAAGTATTAAAAACACTGGCAAGGTGGGGAGATGTGCTTTTCTTTTATTCAAAAGGATTGAAGCCCTGGAAATAAGTAGCTATAGAGTATACATATTTTTCTCTCAAATTTTATGATGCTTTTAAAGTTAATGACTCATGCAAAAAATACTAATACACTACCATATATTTATATTTTAAATATATGCTCTTTTTCCTAGATGTATTTAAGTATTTTCATTTTTAAGCTAGAAATGCTAGGAGCTTCTGCCTCTACAACAGAAATTAATACATTTTATTATCTAATTTAAAATCTTGTGTATTAGAGAAGGATAAATAGCCTGACCATTCAGTATAAATGTTAGCTAACCAGAAGCTTCTGGTGTAAATGCTTATCTAATTAATCAAGAGGATATTCAATACAATAAGTGAGAAATCTTAAAGTCTTTTCTCTAAATGAATAGAACAGAAAAAAGAAGATATTGTATTTAACTTAAATTTTTGTTATGTTTTTTCCCAAGATTATTGGAAGGCCAGCTTTTCACAGGGAGAGATAAACAACAGAACAACATAAAAGATAGAAAAATGAGGACTACAGATTTATCATTTTTCCCTCAAGTCTGAAAAGTAACAACCTTAGCTGAATGTTTTGTGGAAGTCAAAAAGCAGCTTCAGAACCATTCCTGATTTGGTCAGCAGTTACAATTCAGTGTAGGCTGCCAGTCACATACATATGGATGCAACTACGTATCAGTAATTCCGGCTTTTGACAACAAAGCAAATTCCATTAAATGGCAGAGCAATTCATGGTCCAAGAAAATTCATTTCCAACAGCATCGGAAGCCTAAGGCTGTTGACAGGGCTGCAATTCACATAATTTTTCTTTTACTTCCTTAGGACTGAAGGAGGGAAGGAGAAAGGTAAGAAACATTCATAGTACAAAGAGAAAGCAGATGGCAAAAGACAGGCCCAGCACTCAGGTTAAGGCGTTTACACCAATACGTGAAAGTAGAGGCAAAAAATATTTCATGAAGATCAATGTCTTGTAACAGTCTTGGCTACACAGATTAAAGAAACAATATCCAAGTTTCAACATAAAGTTCTACCATAAAAATCCATGTCCAAAATTGTTATTTTGCTCCAGTAAGGGTACAGTAAGTATTAGTGACACTGCTATAATCAAGAACAAAAATTATATTATTTTCTACATTTATATATATTATGTTGATACATAGTTTCAAATCATAAGTGAAAAAGTTACTTCATAACATTAATTTGTTCCTAAGAGAAGCATGACTAAGTATTTTGTGTAATTTCACAGGAATTAACTCAAAAAGAAAAAGGAGGCAAGAATAATTTAAATATAAACCTATTTGACCTAGTTAGCACTTGGAGTTCTATATGCTGAATGTTAAAAAGTAGGTGTGTTACTCTGAAAGAGATAAACAGTGTAAAAAAGGGCCAGACCACAGCGTTAGCCAAGATGTGTATGTTAAAATAATGAAGTAATGACATTCTACTGGAAGGGCTGAACCTTCATATCTATCTACATAAGTAAACACAAAACAGGGAGATGGACATAAACTCTGCTTTAACAGATACACTACCACAACATTAATTTATCGTTAAGAAGATCAATGTTCACTAACCAGATACAAAACCGAACCAAAGCAGCCAAAGAATCACAAAGACATACCAGAGCTGACTCGAGAATGAGCAAGCTCAGGCCCCCAAGGCAGCCCCATAGTGGTAAACTGCAGCTGACTTCAGACACACTCCATGAGACACCGCTTTGACTGTTAGCTTTGAAAAGCCAAGCACCCAAAATTGAGCAAGAAGATCCTAAGAAATTATTATATCCCACATTATTTTTCATACTGCAAATACTACGGAACTGGCAATACAAAACAGTAAATAGACAAACTCTCACCCTTTGGACGAACTCTTTACCTTTGGGCAAACAGCCAGCAAAATATGTCAATCATATGTATCAAGACTCAGTAGGACAAAAGCATTTAATTTGAAGTTAGTTTGAATTTAACTAAATCCTTGGCCTAATAAACTTACTATTCTGATTTCTCAGAGATGGAATTACAAGTTAATACAGTTGGAACTGAAACATAGCAGCTCTAATTCCAGCCACTAAATTCTATTACATTTTTGATGAAACATACATTATATTCTGTACTGTATTCACTAGGAAGGGGGGGGGGAACCAACCCAAAACATTTTAACAGGTCCAAACACCCCATCAGAAATCCAGAAGATCTTGGAAAGCCTAGAAATGTTACTGTCCTACTGACTAGTCTTGTGAGTAAGAGAAAAGAGGAATACCCCATTAATACATTTAGACTTTGCACTAAAACCAAGATTTTTAATGGTTAGAAGGCAAACGTTATAATATACAATGTAATAATGGTGTTAGACTATAAAATCATTGCCTGTTTGCTCTCTTCCTGTCTATAAAGTATGAACTGTCTACAGCTGATGAACTGATCTACTTGTTTAAAGATGTAGCATCACTTCCATACACCCAGGAAAACACCCACTCCCTTTCTTAATGAATGAAGTATATCTTAGGAGGAAAAAAAATCAGACTGTAATAAGGAAAGGGGATATAATTACTTAGTAAGTAGCTGAAAAAAGAACTGACACTAATAAAAAGTATGAAGTGAACATTGGTTTTATGTATTTGTCCTCTAACATCTCTACTTTTTCTTTTTCTAAATCAGAAATCTTTTTTGGGCAAAGGTAGTATAAGCACTACTCAGCAGCAAAAAAAGTTACTTTTGACAAAATTAAGATATCACGAAAACACATTTTGTTCATAAAGAGCTGCTCAAACGTAGAAATATTAATTGCAGAGAAGTAACTTCAGATTTTTAGAGCAAACTATTTGCTAATACACATTTAAATTTTACTTCCATAGTAAATTATACAACACACTAAGTAGCATACTTACCCACCCACAAAGCAGAGGATATAAAATGCAAAGTAAAATATAGCGAAGGGTCCAAAAGTTAATAGAAAAAGCACAAGGCCAAGACTTCCCCATCCCCATATGGAAAGACTGGTCTGTAAACAAGAACACATGGAAAAGGAGTAATTAATGCAATATTCACACAACTTTAAGTCTTCAAAGCAAGTAGTTTCTACAAAGCTTGACAAATTTTAACTACATATTAAATAAGTTTTGCTTGATGAAATAAAAACTATAGGTTTTTAAAAGCATATTGCTATCAGGTTATACTGTGGGTTAGTGGTCTAGTTTAGCCAACATTAGAGCATTTTTCTTTACAATATTGTTACTTCTCTATCACTTCAGATGCAACTATCACCCTTTAAAGTGTCATTTCTTTGTCTTCTCTGTTCTCATTCTGTGCACTCTCCTTTCTCATGATTCCCCTCTTCTCCTCTGTGAAATCCACCGCTATTTGCAAGAAAATTGCAGGCTTTGTAACAGAAAAGGGAGAGACCAATATAACCTCATTTTGCACAACTAAACATGTAATTTTCCACAGTCAAGCAATACTATTTCTTCCCTAGACTGAAGCAGTTGCAACGCCAGAATAGTGTCCCTTTAAGTCATGTCACACAGAGGTCAGTGGGTATAGCTACTTTTACTCTTCCCTTTAAATAAAAGAGAGGGAAACTTAAGAAACTGATTACTACCTCTAACAAACTTTACCACAGCAATTGACATTCAAGCAATTCTTTGAAACAAATATAATTCTGCTTTAAAAACAGGAAACTTAATACAGTTAAGAAAGAGAGATCATAGAATCACAGAATGGTTTGGAAGGGACCTTAAAGGCCATCTAGTTCCACCCCCCCTGCCATGGGCAGGGACCCCTTCCACTAGACCAGGTTGCTCAAAGCCTCATCCAGCCTGGCCTTCAACACTTCCAGGGATGGGGCATCCACAGCTTCTCTGGGCAACCTGTTCCAGTGCCCCACCACCCGCTCCATGATTAATTTCTTCCTAATATCTAATCTA